AAAAGTGTTGAAAGAGTGGGTGAATACGAGGGTAGAAAACAAAAGGTCCAATTGTTGAGCAGTAGTGACCATAAAAGGGGGTCATTAGAGGGGCAGAGAGTGGTCATCGGGAGAGTGGGTGAGAGACAAAAACATCTGGAGATGTTTGTCTCGCATATGATTCGTACGTTTGAACCAAAATTGTGAGCGCTTTTGGAGAGAGAGAGAGAGAGAGAGAGAGAGAGAGAGAGGACTGGAAAAGACTGAAAATGTTCGCCAAATAGGAATGGCGTTCATTCGTTTCAAACCTGAGGTTCAGTTCATTGACATTACTATTAGTTAATTGTATTCTCGACACAAAATTGTGAAAAATATATCAATTTTTCGTAATTTAATTGTTGTAACAATTTATTAAAAGCTATTTATTGTTAAATAGTGATTGCAATGATTTGATCCCAGATTTATTGGGAATTAAATTAAAGCATTTAATCGCCGATAACTCAATCGCAAGTTTATATTAAACTATAGTTTTAAGTAAATTGTGATAATTATTAAAATTATATGAAAGTAATGTTTCAATACTTGCCTTTCAATGAAATTGATGTCATATTTTTAGTTATTCTTTAATTTAATCGATGAATTGAAAATTCAAACACGAATTCTTTGAGTGAAAAGTTTTTTAACAATACTGTTGTTGAGCCAAACATTTATACAATGATTATAAACTTATAAACATTTTATTGATGTTTGATTTCGATTTTTAAACCACTTTCTCTTGTTTAGAAAAATTGTCTTCAAATCATAAGTAATCCCAAAAGTTGTCGTTAAGTCTTTTGAGCAAATGTTGAATACTTTTTATCGTTTCTTTGATATATCGGCTGAAAAAATAGTATAGAATTTCATTATAAATTTATTTCAAACAATATATTAAATAATTAAAGGAAATGATTATAATTTTAAATTAAGATTTTTCGCCGAAAAACATAACAATATATTTATGGAAAGTTGTCATATGAACGGAGAAAGAGGGAGGGAGAGAGAGAGAGAGAGAGAGAACGTGTGATATAAAAGTGTGTGTTTGTGTTGTATGAATCAAATGGGAATCTATTTATAGCTTGTATTGAGAACCACTTGTTTTAAATTTTGAGTCTTTCTATCGTTTAAAGTTTACACAAATTCAAAAGATTCTGATCTCCCGCTCATAAACTTCATTAAAACAAATCACAGAAAACTAATTTTTGGCAAATTGTTACGAAAATTGTAGTGAAATGCTCAGTGAATTTCCACTAAACAGGAGATAATAAACTATAATATGTCTTAAATCTATCTAATTTTAGATGTGTTTTTAAAGCATGTGATTAATTGCATAAAAGGCAATGAAATCGAAAATATTTCAACTCTTTAACTATATTTCAATTAAACTCTTTAAATATTTTAATAATTGATTGCTTTTGTGGAGAACTAAACAACTGAACAAAAAAATAATAAGAAAACAAAGAGTTTGTAAAAAGAAGTTTTTGGCAAAAATTGTTGAAAACATAAAGAAAATGATGAGTAAAATCTCTAATGAGTAGATTCTGTGAATCTTATGTTGAGTTAAAGTATTTATTTTAAGAAAGTTTTCAAAAAACTTTTAGCGCCATATTATTCAAACATCCAAACTATGCCTTCAAACCAAGGTTTTATTCAATTTTCATAGTTATTGCCATTCTTTGCCTTAAATTACATTATTCTTGATATTTATTTCATAAAATTTTACATTTTATTAGTTTTGCCAACATTTATAAGCATTTTAAATAAAAATTATCACTAAATGGCAACAAGAATATCGTCTAAAATATTGTAAAAATTGTGTAAATGTCTCATCAAATTGAATGAAAGTTATATTCTTTACAAAAATATTGTGATTTTAATTATCATTTAATAATTAAATACAATTTTCATGCATTATATGAAAGACACGAATAACTAACACAAGAATTCCTTACAAACAAACAGTCATATAATGAGAAAAACAATTTAAATTTTAAAACAATAATCATTTAATTAAATGAAAAGTAAGAAAAAACAATATTTGAAGGTTTAATAAATTAAACAAATGCTTACATATATGTAATTGTGTTCATGTGTTAACTCTTATGATACCAATAAACAGATGACATGATGTGAGACATGCCATTCACAGTATCTGGTCTTTGGCTCACATTTCAAATATACTTAACCATCACTTAAACTTCGGAGTCATATGTTATGCACAAAAATTCACGTCAAAAAACACATAATATTAGTTTCATTTGCTTATGGTTTTTATTGATACACTATTTTTTGTCTTTATTGAACGGCAAACTCAAAAGTTTAGTAGTTTTTGTCTGAAAAAACTTATATCCAATTCAATGGAAAACTTGAGAAAATGAATTGACATAAAACACAACGAATTAAATGTTTGGGAATTAATTGGCGAACAAACAAAACAAACAAAACTAAATGGCAATCAATGGTTAATTTGTATATAATATATCAATAAATACAAGTTTTTAAGTATTGAAAAAAGTTTGTTTCGAAAGCAACTACTGGTCAGAGGAGTAGTGAAAAAGTGATGTCGCGGTTGTTGTTGTGGGCAATACTGTACTCAACACTAAATGTATTGACACTCATCGCTGAAGGCTATGCGAGAAATACATATAAAAGTTTTTCAGAGTATAAGAGTATAAAAGTTATGTTTTTGAGGTACAGAAACGAGGAGGGAATGAAGGGAATGGGGAAATGCTATCAAAACAAGTTTTGTCTCCGCTTCGGGGCAATGGACGGCTGCAAACGTCATCTCATTTGGGGGAACACAACACACATATACACAACCATAGTATCACTTCATACCCAAACCAATCCATACCAATCCACCGCTCTGTTCCTCCTTCTCCTCCCCATACCATACACTCTACCATATCATACACCAGAACTTATAACATGTCTCCAATGAATTCACACTTTTATATACATTTTATTGAATTGTTTGAAATTTTCTTATATCTGATACAATTTTAATTTAATTTTAAACAATCAATTCTCACAAATTTATAATTTAAAAGTTTATTAAATTGTATGGTTTTACAGGTATTAAACAACTATAAAAAAATTTTCACAACTATTTAATTCAACATAAAACTAACATAAAATTACATAAAACTTTTGTAACAATATTATTGCATTTTTAATACAATAAGTTAAATATACTAAACATTCTTACATATCAAACATATTTCTGTTTTATTTTACAAACTAATAAACCAAACATTATTGTAATATTTGTTTATAATTATCATTTATTTAACGTATATTTATTTTTATACAATTAATACAAACATATAAAAATGTTTTGAAATTTCCGCAATAAATCTGTGTTCACTATAAAGTGCTCTCATTTTGAAAAACTTAATTCAATTTTAAAAATAATACAATTGTAAAAAAAAAGTTTCGACTTAAGGTAAATGGCGGGAGACATGAGGTATACACACTTCTATTCAGGATCACATCTAAAGACAATTGTGTTTTAAACTACAAACCCGTAAAATATCTACAATTAAAATTATATAGTTTTAAAATATAATTTTCCTGTGTATTAGAAAGTGCAAAAAAGTAAAAAGGGTGAGATCACCAAACGTAAATTGAACATGCAACTTTTTAATCAGCTTTGCGCCACCGGATCCAACATTAGTGAACGAAATTTCGGGTTTGAAATTTGGATCTAGGGGTCGGGTTCGGGTCGAGTCTGTTCGGGTTCGGGTTGGGTCGACGAATTTGTCCACATTTCAGTCACTACCCAACATTTCAATTACGATAATAATAGTAACGCATCCCTCAAACAAATATTTTTAAAGCATATTTAAACATTTAACTAATCGTTGAATTATTTGTGCGTCAGGAATAACAATAATACTGAAATACAAATACCGTAATATTTTTCTCATTTTATATTCAGTAAATTATAATTTTTAGGTCATTATAACTATTGTACGATATCTTAAAATGTAAACAATTGAATGGAAACATAGCGTCAGTGCCTTTAATGTCTAAAGAAGGTGTGAAAAGTAATCGTAAGAAAATGCTGTTGTTTTGAGGGTTTGTATTCATTATAATGTATTACAACTAATAAAAAGCAAATAAACTATTGATTTCTCACTCGAGAATTATTCACTCATATAAACAATTCATAAGATTTTCTAATCAAAAGCACAACATTTTGTTGCGCTAACAATAATGCAATCAATTATTTAAATTTGCGTTTAATATAATGTTACGAAAAATAAGTGAAAATTTATTAATCAAATATAACTTTTACATAAATAAATGCTAATAATCTGGGCTAAAATCTTTCGGCCAGACGTGCGGCCAATTGTCTCATAGATCCGTACACTTTAGATGGAGGACTGCCTAGAATTAGGTTACAAACGGCTGTTCGCGCGGCTCTTGTGTTTTGATATGAGCCTAAAATGTGAATTTTACTGAAATATACAACAAAATAACATTAAAAACGTTGCAAAGAATACAAAGTAGTTTTGATGGCTAACCTGTCGGCCAATACAATTCGAGTTCGCGTCACGTTTTCGATCGTAAACTTAGTTCTGCCGCCCTTTCCGGCGATACGTCCGATGGCTCGCGACAAGTGATCGCCTTTTAATGGTTTTACTATCCGTTCAAAACATCATTATTTACTCTCAAACTCATATTTATCTCATATTTAATGACAAACCGTCGCGTATTTCAAACGATTCAATGAAGAGTTCGTCCAATCGGACCAACGCTAACGCGTCCTCCACTTCAAAGCCTAAGATAAACGCTTTGACAAAATCGGCGCCTTTTTGTATGGAACTGATGTCAACCGTCTCTTTGCATGTCTTCGTAACAAATCATTCAATTAATATATAATATAAACAATTGTCCCAAATATGGCTTTACTCTGATTTCGACGACACGACTCTTCAAATTGAATCTAATCTGTAGTTTCAAGTGTTCAACAATTGGTGTAAATATTTTCATCCAATTCTCCTTCAGAGGTGTGTATCGATGGGACGGAACAGCGATTTTGCGAAACTCATTGCTATTTGTCTGAAACAACACATCAATCAATCGGTAAATATCTTCATTTCAATGGACACCAAA